AAGCCGCTCAAACAGCGGAGCTTCTCACAAATCGTTCTCACCATTGAACTTGCAATCTCGTATTTGGGAGGGTAGTTTTTGAGAAAAGCAAAAAGTTTCAAAAATGGACAAGAAATCAAACATTGACTTTTCTGAGAGTCATTAATTTTTTTCTCCTAAAATCACTAACCCCTTTTAGAGGGAATCCTCCCTCAAGCCTTTTTGTTATTAAACTCAGCCACTCAACTTTAAGACAGTAAGTTTTTGAGACCAAGTTTTCAAAAAAATGGGCAAAAAATTGCAATTGTGACTTTTCCGCGGACCCCAACTTAATTTGAAGAAAAAATACGGGCGTATCCGCTAGTGCAACACGTTCTCTGCACTGAACCTAAGATCTCAGATAAAATCTAAAGATTCTAAACCTAAAATATTAGTCGAGAAAAAGCAAAACTTGACAAAACGGTCAAAAAGCACATTTTCCTTTTTTTCGAGGGTCAAACTTTCATGGAGAAAAAAATTGGGCTGAACCGCTTCTCTGGGCAAGCTCCTCACAAACAAAACTTCAATATAATGAAGTTTTCGAGAAAATATTGAAAAAAAAAACGACGAATGTAGAAAGCGGCTACGGTAGAAAGACACTACCTGTATATGCAAGAAAACACTAGAGTAGGCGGTCTATCTATTGGTATGATTTTTTGATATTAATTGAGTGGTTTTTGAGAAACAAATCAATTAAGAAAGAAAAATTTTTTTCAAAGCGTCTAAAACATAAAATGGGAAAAAACAAATCTCACACATTTTTTTAAGTATCAGTGTTAGCAGACAAAATTAGGTAATAAGACTGAACGCTCTAGTTCAATTTTTTTGAATTTGTTTTTCTCATGCGGGTTATAGGTTAAAATGGGTAATTTCAAAATTTTAAAAAATGGGCTTTGCCCAAAACTTTAGTTGTTTCTAAAATAAACCAAGTAGGAATGAAGTTTTTTGAGACATTGGAAAACTCCAAGACAATACGCTTCGGAAAAAACTTAATGGCTAAGTCGTTTATGCACGAAGGCTCTCCATAACAAGCTGCCTCGATTATAAACTTCATATCAGATTCGTCTGGTCTGGGTAGTTTTCGCTAACAGTAAAAAAAACTGACAAGAAATCAAAATCTTGACTTTTTTGAGGGCCATGAACTTTTTATATGAAAAATGGGACGTATTCGTTTCTGCAGGGTAGCCTGTATCAACTCTTTTTTTTCGATTGAACTCAAATACTCCTATTTGGGAGGGTAGTTTTCGAGAGAAGGTAAAGTTTTTCAAAGCAATAGTTAAAACTCTCAATTATGCCTTTTCCGAGTACTCTAACTTGTTTTGTAGAAAAAGTATTGGCATAGCCGTTAATGCAGGGGCCTTACCACAAAAAAATTTTTGCATTGAACCCAAAGTCTCAGATTTGGGAGGGTAGTTTACGAGGAAAGTCAAAAAGATTGACAAAACGGTCAAAAATCACAAAACTTTACATTTTTCCGAAGGTTTAACCACTTCTGCAGTCAAGCAATTCACAAAGCGTTCTCTATATTGAAATTCAAATATCAGATTTGGGGGTTAGTTTCTGAGAAAATTGAAAAAGCCCGAAAATATGGGTCGAAAATTCACCCACAGACTTTTTCGAAGAAAGAGACTACCTGTACATGCAAGAAGACAGAAAAGTGCGTGGTATGTTCGTGGATATCAATATATCTACATTGAACAGTACTTTTTGACAAAAATAAAAACAAAATAGAGGAAAAAGTTATCCAAAGCGTGTAAAATAAAAGAAGGGTAGTTTTCAAAAAAAAATTGACTTTTTCGAAAGCCATGACTTTTGGAATAAAACTAGAAGCCCAGCTAAATGTATAGGTAACGTCTTGATATCTTGATATTTTTAATATGGTTGAAATGATGCGGCACGAAACAGATAATTTGATCATAACAAATTTGAGTGAGCAAAGGCTTATATACAAAGGATTCCAGCAGCCTGCTGCCTCATTTAAACCCTTGATATCAAAATTTTTGAGAAAAGTAAAAAGAGATTCAAAAAGCAGACAAGAAACGGAAATTTTTCTGAGGGCGAAACTTTATTGTTCAAAAATTAGCATGTCGCCGCTAAAAAGGAGGAGCTGTTCTCAACTTTTTTTTGCAACGGGACATAAGCTGACAATTGTTTGCAACGGAACATTTCCCGTTTGAAAAAAAACGGTTCCTGGTCAGATTTGAATCCAAGATCTTTTGCGTACCAGGCGTTTTCGTAACTTCCAGACTAATTGTGCCAGAGAGGGTTCGAAATTTGAATTCATTATTAGGCAAGATACCAAGTGATCTAAGTGATTCTGTTGAACAAGTTGCTAGCCCGAAAAAAGTCTTTATTCCGAATTGTAGTCGAAAGTTCTAAAGAAAAAGAAGAAAATCGTAATTCACCCAAAAAATTTACGTAATTCATTCACTCGTTTTAGTAAAGTGTGACTAAAAAGTATGGGAAAGAAAAAAGACAAAATGGAACAACTATTAGCTAAATTAACGTTGAAACCTTATCCAAATGGAACTGCGATGTCAGCCGTTTTAGTCTAATTTCATCTAACTTGTCTTAAATAGTCCGCCAACCGAGAATTTCAGGCCACGTTTTCTCGACACTGAAAGAACGCTTCACTTTTTTGATTTTAGAATCCAGCGCACTATCAAAATTACTTAGATATGATACCATACTTGACCCCAAAGGAGCTTTCCTTGAAATAGACAAACTGGCTGGACAAAAAACTGAACCGAATCCAAAATCAGTGGTCGGACAATAAAGTCTCAAGCCAGTAAATTGGAAAAAAGAAACATTTCATCCGGTTGCTCTTATCGAGCCTAAAATGTTTTTCAATCAATTTTAAGAATTTTGACGAGAAAATTTGGGTCTAATGCAAATAATATTTTCTGTTGATATCAAAAGTGATTTCTCGTGCAGTTAAAACTGTTGAGAGAGCTCCGGTACAAGAGAAACTTGTAAAATTTTAAATAATTTTTGATCACGAAGGTTTTTTTGATACGAGGGTGTTTCGGATGTGGTCATCTATTAGCTACCCGAAACAAAGATCCCGCCGAATCGAGCAAGGTTCGAATTTCAATATTCCTTTCTCGATTCTTTTGAGGTTATCTTGTAGGTGTATTCAATCATGACTACCACAGAACCTATAACAAAAGAAATGAACTGAATTTAAAAATAAAAAACAAAAATCAAAATGCTTAAAATTCAAGAAACAAAAATTTTAAAAACAAAAAATCATCCCAACCTATATATGAGTCCGAGCTACGTTTATCGACTCTTAATCAACTCCACCTAGAAAAGTTAAAAAGTTTGACAAAGCGGTGAAAAAAATCGAAAGTTTGACTATTCCGATGGCCATAAAACTTAGTGTGAATAATTTTAGCGTAACCACTTGTGTAAAACAGCTTCCCAAGAGCCGTTCTACCTGTAAAACGAAACTTTTCGTATTTAGGTGTGAAATTGTTTTGCGAATACACAAATTCAAAAATAGTGGGTAAAAAATCCCCTAAAGAGTTTTTTGAAAGCTGTGAAAAGTGGGGTGAGGTGAAAAAATAATAAGTGGTTATACAACAGACACACAAGGACTGGCTGAGTTTCCATCGCTGCTAATGTTTTCTTAATGACAGAGTTTTTTTTGAGAACAGGCCGAGAATTTTTCCAAAGCAAAACTCAAAGTAAAATTGAATAAGAAACCCAATCCCATACACTTGCATAGTTTCTCTTTTTATCAAACAAGGATTGGGATGCAGTCGCTTATGCAGAAGAACTTCCCACAACCAATGCTCTTCATTGAAAACAAAATCTCAGATTTTTAATTTTTGAGAAAAAGTAAGAAAAAAATCCAAAAATATGGGTCAAAAATCCACCCCACACAATTTTTCAAAGGCTGTAAAAAAAGTGAGGTAAAAACACGGAAGATTGGGCAGAACTTCCATTGAAACACCTTGTTTGGAAATCGAAAAATTATTTTTTTGAGAAAAACTAATAATTTTGAGAATAGCCAAAAAATTTCTTCTATTGTTTTAAAATTAATTTAAAAAAAAACGACTCTATACAGCTAACACGAAATAATTTTAGCGGCACAATTTTTGTTTTCGTCCAAAGTTCAGTTTATTATCTTCTGAAAAACTGGGAGTAAAGTAGCAGTTACTTTCAGCGGAAGTAACTTTCGGTTTCATCAGTATCATTTTTTTGCTTTCTCGTTCCGTAGATGTTCTGAAAAAAAATGTGCGCAATTTATGGAACGTTACAATCTGTTTATTTCAACTTTATAAGCCCCGAATATATCTTCATGCTTTCTTGATCTACACTCTAAAACTTTGTTGCGAAATTTAACCGGCAAGTCATCGTGTAATGCAAAAAAAATTGTGTGAAACACACATCTTTTCAGTATATCGAAGGATTACAGGCAATAAAAATAAATGTGTGCCAAAATTCCAATATTGCAAAAAAGTGCTACTTGATTTGTTATCATGGGTTTCCATCAAAGTGACTTTTGTAAATTGAATCTAAAATGATATTTAATGCCTTTTTGAAGACTAAAAAAACGTTAGATGTCAGATTAGAATTCATACATTTTAAACCTGACTCGTTTTAACCTATTCACTCAAATTTTTTTCACTCTAATATACTCATTAGCGTTATACTCTATCGTTGTTTTTGAAAAAAAAAAGTTTAAAAATTTCAGACATCAAAGAACAGGGTAAATGTTTGAGGACTACAGTTAGTTCCCGCTGATTGTATTTTTAAGTCCCCAATTTTTTTTGTGCTGTGATTTTTGCTAATATTCCTGCAAATAACTTGTGGATTGGTTGTTCTGTCTTTTGATATAATCTGCTTTGGTGATTTTGGCTGTTCTAAATCGATATTTACCTCCCAGTAATCACTATTAGGGGGAGCTATAATTTTTGATACTAAGCTGAGCAAGGGACTGAAATGGAAAGACACTATAAACACCATTTTCTTACCTAGAATTCGCATATGGGTGTGTATATCTTTTGCCTTACATAGTGGCAGTACGCTCTCCTGTTGAAATTTCTCTGGCTGGAAGTTGATGAGCGCAATATCGTAGAGGAAATGAAGTCTTTCATTGTATCCGGGATGTACTATCAGATGTTTTTGGAAGTCATTTTCAGTTCCTAAAAAAATTGTTTGAGCATCAAACTCTTTACACTTGGTAAAAAAGTGCTGACAAAAGTACGGAGTTAATCGCTGAAATTGAATGCTCTTTTCCGTCACGAGGGGCTTGCACGTCAGAGGTTTTCAGAGAGGATTGTCTAACCCTCACTACCTGTAAGGTCAACTGTTTAATACTACTTTACGAGTTTTATTTAACCTAACCCATCGCAAAAACGGGAAAAGGCAATATGCCTAAATGTAGTTCTTGTACAATTTTCTACGAGAAATCTGCCTAAGCTACTATAATATGGTTCAAATCACACGGGTACAAAACGGGACCCAAAATTCGCCGCGAGATGAGCAGAAAAGGTGTTAAAATGTATCCACAAGAGTGAAGGTGCCTATTTGACACTTTCAGAATGTTTTTGCTTATTCGACATTTCAAAAAATGGATATTACGCACGTTCTAAGTAACTTCTCTAGTCAAATTAGGCACTATCGATTTATTAGAGGACATTTATTTACGGATGTTCATTCCAGTGAGCTCATAATGTCATTGTTTTTGCTAAAAATGTCTCCAATTTTCTTTAAAAATTATCCTGCCAAATGTGATATTGAGTTCTATGGAAGGATCAAGTAGTCAAGCGACCATGGAACACATGCAAGGATGTGTGACACTCTTAATCTGCAGATCGAGAGCTCGATACCGCCGCATAGCAGATTTATTAGTTTTTATTTTTTTCCCTTTTCGACATTTTAGAGCTATCTTTTGCCATTTTGTTGCTTCTGTTTGCAAAGTGCAGCTTCGCTTGTCTAAATTTTCTCTCCCCCCCCCCCCCGACAGAATATCTTCCTTTTTTATCTGAGCTATGCTTCTCTATTCTTTTTAGGGCAATGAATCTAGTGAATACTCTTATATAAATCTTAGCGATTGTTTTTTGCGTTTTTTGAAGAAAAAGTCTTAAATCTTGTTCGCACTCAATTTTGATTTTTCGCGGCTTCACTTGAGACTTCTTTTCATTTTCAGTTCATTTCATTTATTGAAATGAAGGCAAACACCACTATCGAACAGCAAAAGTGAAAAGTAAACTTATTTGTAGAACATACCGGACTTCCTACAAAGAAGGTTGTAGCCGATTATGCAGGGCAGATCTTTACACCAAATACTTTAATTTGAAACTTTAACCTAAAAATTTGCGGTGCAGTTTTTGAGAGAAAAAAGCCTCCAAAAGACAATAGAAATTTCAAAACTTTCTTTTTCATAGGATAATAACAGTTTTTATACGTAAAATAGGGCGTAGCTGCTTCCACTCTCTTTTTTATTCAACTTGTAGTCATGGTACCACTTGGGAAAATTTCAATAACTATTTTTGGCGCTTTTCTCTCCCCCCATCTGTTCATTTTGTTCAATGGACTGATTTGAAAACTCACATACGGACTAATTAGGTTAAGACAAACGGCTCTTTTCCAGTCCCCCCACCCTTTGTTAAATTACAAAAAGAGATGTTCAAAAATTGTTCACACGGCAATTTTCATGTTAGAAATGTTGTGAAAATTTGTTCAGCTGTTCACGCTGACACGTTTTAATGCAGTTCATAACATTAAAAATTATTTTAAAAAGACTTTCATGTAATGAATTTCAGAAAAAATGAAAGGGGGGAACTGGAAAAGAGCCAGACAAACATATTTAGTCTTCATATTTTACCTTGTAAAACCACCCGTTACACCATAAAATTCATGTTTGTGTGAGGTGGGGGATGGAAAAAGGGCCCCATTTTTTTCGATTGAACTCTATGCTCTGCCTGCCATTACAAGCTATATTGCTTAGCGTATACATAGTGCGTTCCGGAAAGTTCGGTGTGGGTTCGTTTCTCACCTAAATCGTTTCATTTGAGAATCACAATAGAACCGAACTTGATAGAATATAAAACTCTAATACTAAAATAGATTCAAAAATGTTTTGCAATTCTTTTTCTGTTGTTTCAACTGCATGAACTGAATATGATTTCTTCGTAAACATCAGAAATCAACACATGATCAACACTACCACTTTCTTGCCTGATGCAGACAATGATTTTGCAATATTTCAAGCATTAACTTGTGTTTTAAAACCGACCCTGTTTTGTTTTTACGTCACAATTTGAGCAGTACATGGCTGTGTTTTTACCAAAGTAATTGGGCTCCTTTTCGTTCCCCCACCTCATACGAGCACCAAATTATAGTGCAATGAGTAGTTTTACAATGTTAATTATGAGGACCAAATTTGTTTTTCATGGCCTAATTAGTACGCATTTCAATTTTTTTAACAATCGGTTGGTGGCAACAGTAATTTTAATTTTAAAAATATACAGGTGGGAGAAAGGAAAAAGAGACGCTATGGGTTCAACCCTCTTTTTTATACTGTAAAAAGGCAGTAGATCTGATGAACAAAGTGTATGAAAAAAGCTAATGAAGTGAACTAACCTGATTTTGTGATAGCAAGTCCGGCCTTCTTGTCGAAAAACAACGAAGAATCTATGCGCGTCGTGAAATCTTTGTAATTTATTTCAATGCGCGTCTCTAAAACAAAATGTCATTTAGGATGTTAATTTGAACTTCTTATAGTAACAACTGTGCAGTTTGTTATGAATTACTGTCTAGGGCGTCGTATTACACTGTAACTTAAGTTGGGGTTTTTTATGCAATCATATTGAAGCCCATGTTTCGTGATTTGAATTCTGATAATAAATTTCAACGAGTTGATATTATCAGAGATATCATACAATTTTTAAATGAAAATTGTTTTGTGATAACCATCCAATGAATTCCTTACGGTCAGAAAACTATTCGAAATCTGTATGATAAGCAGATAACTAGCCACCACAATTGTCTGACAAGCATTCTCTCCATACGATTTTTTAAAAATGGCTCTTTTCCAGTTTCCTTCTTAAAATTAGAAACAAAGCTGTCCAAACAAGGTTTTTCGAAAATGGTTCACCCGGTTTTTTGCATTAGAGAAAAATTGTAAATAATTGTTCAATTAATCACGCTGATACGTTTTAATGCAGTCTCACCATACAACAAAACAGACTTTCAAATATTGAGTTTCAGAAAAATCTAGGGAAAAACAACTGGAAAACAGCCAAAATGTTTTAAAAGTTTCTCTTTACATTCTTGTGTTTTCACTGAAAACCAAACCAAGGATTTTCTCATACAAGAAAATCATAAGTTAAGTGGCGATAATCTCAAATAAATACTGCCTTTCTATATTTATCATGTATATAAGTTTCTTTCAGAAGCTCCGAGCAAAAGCCGTTATATTTTGTATACGCTAAGTCATCTTTAACTTCAAAAACTTAGGTCACAACTTATTTTCTGGAAAACTTTCATTTGTGCCTGGAAAAAAATTTACTTCTTTCTCGATTTTTCTCTTTTGTATCCATGCAAAAAAGTGCCTATCAATGAAACTTTTGATGAGAAAGTTGAACGATAAATTTTTTAACCACAGACTCAACTAAGAATGGAAATTTATGATAAAAAATTCTCTTGCACGCAATGGTATAAGAATCACTTTTCGTGTATAGCGGTCACCCCGGGTAGTTTCAGGTCAAAACATTGCTTAATCTACTTTTGGCCTGATAGTTCCGAATTGCTGAAATAGTGTAATAGAACAATAAAATGATAAGCAGTGGTCTTTTACAAGCCTAATAACATAGCCAATCGAAGATTGAAAAAGAGTAATGAACGCAAGTAAACGTAAAAAAAACACTGCATTTGTTGAGAAAATCTTTCGAATTTCACAAAAAAATAAATGCCATTTAAGCTCGTTTTGAATTTCTAGAACAATTCATGATGAGTGCTTTTTTGATAACATTAACCCAACTTGAGAAAACTGGATCAACAGGTAAAGTTTTCAATCCACTGAAAATCTAAAAATTAAATTCCACTTTCGAAACTAGAAATCGTTCACGATTTTTTGCGCCATTTCCACGTTCGTATTTGGAGAGTGCTATTTGAGTAACTTTTAGCAGATAAAATTCAATTGAACTCGGAAATTGCATATGTACCTAAGTGCATTCATGAATGCATCAATATGTATGAATGCACATCTGTAGTTATTAGAGACTTTTCCTGAAAAAAAACAAAAAAAAACAGCAAGACCTATTTAAGATTCTTCACTATGTTCATTACTCATGAAAAGACTCAAAGCAGGAGCAAGCAAATCACTTCTTCTGATCGAAAGAAACAAACAAAAATTTTTGTTTGTAACAAACAAAAAAAACGCAGATACTGATGAAAAGGACGATGAAAGAAAGCAAAAAAAATTTTGATAATAGTTTTTTTTGAAATGAAATTCAACCTCTGCAACTGCAAAAAGAAAAGTTTTCCTCAGTATTTTAATAACTCATAAATTTATAGATTCAAGAAATCCCTCTAGTTTCAAGACAAAACACTGCTTTGCGAGGCTGGTAAATAGATCGGTTGACTGTTCCGATTTTGAAACTTCAAGGAAATTCCGCGTTATTTAGTAACAAATCAACCGGCTGATCATGGCAAACTTTTTGACGAGATTTGGCGGAAAAAATTGCTAGCAACGCTCTGAAAGCTTAGACAAGTTTGACATTCGTGAAACGTTCAAACAACAACAATTGCAAATCTATAGAAAAACCTACAATATTTTTGAACGCATATAAAAAACTAACCAATAATTTTTTTTTCAGCTCCTTTTATAAAATGAAAATATTTTTATACATCACAACTATAATAAATGATTTCAATGTACTTGAGCAAAAAATCATGGCAAAACGCTTGATAGTTTTTTCTAAAGTATGATGGATAGTGTTCAAAATGAATTAAATGTTGAAGGAGAATGTCTCGTTCTGGCTCTTTTCCAAGTGCAACTTAAAAGTACGGAATTTTATGTTTGCTTTATGTGTTATTACGGCTAAATGCGTGATGTTACGCTGTAAATTATGAAGTACAAATCTGTTGTCGATTTGTTCACCACGCCAAAGTTCGATGCTTTATGACAACGTTAATTGAGCTTTTCGAAACTGGATTAGAGCCCTCGTTCTTTATGTAAACTATGATTTAGTTTTTCAAAAAGGAAGTTCAATTGACGTTGGTAGAACTAGCCCTAACCTCATGTTTTATAAGACAAAATGTCATTGACAACGGGTGATGATCTCAAAAACATTTGAGAAAGTCTTAATTAATAATTAAAGGGTTATTCTCCACCCCCTCTCCACCGCATTTGAACTTCAATTTTCAAAATTTTTTGACATTGTTATTAAGGGCTGATTTATGGAGTAGGATTTTAATGGTTTCAAACTCTTCCCCTAGGTTTTCAACCTAATCTCCACCAAGAGGGTCCTTCTTTTGGCGCTAATTTACGAAATCCGATTTTGCCTGAAAAATTGTAGATTCTGTTTAAGGCGCCTTGGGCATCAAGGGTTTTTGATGCGTCCAAAAAGGCACAAAAATATTGACAAGTATTTTGAGAGATGCAAGCAGAAAACTGACTGAAAAGCAAATTATCAGATCGAAGTCTCGGGATACAAAAAAAAAATTCACTAATCATTTTGTTAGCTCTAGCCTCAAATTCACATACAGCCAAAAAACTAGTGGCCTAGTTAAAACTGGAGGTCTCCAATTATATATTTTTGGCTCTTTTCCAGTCCCCTCTGATTTTTCCAGAAATTTAAAATATGAAAACTTATTTAAAATGACTTTTCATGTTATAAAAGCATTAAACGTGAACTTGTGAACATATTTTCACAACCTTTCTTAAATGCAAAATGCCGTGCGAACAACTTTGGAATAGGTTTATTTTCAAATTTTACGAGAAGGTTGGGAAACTGAAAAAAAGTCGCATTTTTTAGGAGTTTGTTGTGCTGATATGAGATGTAATGTGTACTTTTCAGAAAATTGAAATTTGGAGTTTACCCAACATCTTAGTTGCTTCTCTCATAAAAAAGGATTAGCCGTTCATGTAGGATAAAGACCTGCCACACCTCTTTTCAATTGAACTCATTGCTCTCGCTAGATTTAGGAGCGAGTAATTAAGTTCTTGTCTTTTAAAAACTATTTTAAAATGTTTTGAATTCACTGCATTTTGGCTGTGCATGAATTTGGATGAATTAAAACTATTGAGTTTTAGTCTGTAAAGCAACCAAAAATATCAACTTCTTCGACAGTAATCCCCTCCATCATCACAAATGAATGGCCTAAATCCGCAGCACAGTCGAGTCAGCAAGGTAAAGAGGCGACGTTAAGTTAAGTTATTTGAAAACTTATGTTATCGGAAAAGCTAAGACTGCCTTAGCACATTTTGCATTAAATTAAAAAGTGTACGAGATGCTTTGGAAACAAAAGAGCAAAAATTTTGGCCAGCCAAAGAATACTAAAACAGTGCAACTAGACAAATTGTCAAATGTTTTCCTCAAAAACATAAATTTTTTGATGATATATTCAGTTTCTTCTTGACAATCTTTTTTGGAGCATTTTTTGGTTCGCTTGAACAGGAAGAAGATCTCAAAGCCTGTCCTGTTGAATGAAGCCCTCAGAAACATTCCACCGAACTTGAGAGAATGTTTGTCAACCTATTTAGTCAAACGTCATTTGTAAAAATCAAACTAAACTAATTTCAGTGCTTAGTTGAAAGCCAAAGCAGAGGTTCATGAGCAGATTAAAAACATGGCTGGAAAACCAAAATTGGAGGACCAAAGTAAGTCTTTAGTAGTGACAAGAGTTTTCTTTGTTAGAACTACTACAGTTGGGAAAAAGGTTACTTTTCCGGCATACATCCTTTTTAAAGGCGAATATTCGCTGTGGAAAAGCTCAATGTTGGCAAGAAAAAACCCGACACAAAGAGCAAAATTTTCAGCTGATTCAAAATTTTTAGCAAAATTTTCGTTCGATTCAATGAAAGCTGCGTCTTTTATGTCTGCAAAGGAAGCCACATCTTCTGAGAGCGTCCTGAGCTAACAAAAAAAAGCCACAAAACATGATGACCCATATAATTTTGTTTCATAGTGCCGACCGAGAGTACGACAGTCGATTTCACTGCAAAAAAAAAATCGCCAACCAGCTAGCACTAACATGGCAAAAGACAATTTTCAACGCTTAGCCAGTAACTGAACTGCATATGACGAACCAGGAAAAAATAGCGCTAGCAACAGATTACCGGGCACCAACTCGAGTAACGCGGACACCAACTCTGGACCAGTAACATACAAGCTGTCAACAATTAAACGGACCTGATTACCTCAAAAGGTTTACAGCTGATTCTTAAACTTGAAGTTTCTTCGGAATCCCATAGAACTGAATGCCTGTCGTTTTGTGATAATGCAACAAGTCAACCCTGGTATCAGCTAGACAGTCAGTGGACAGTTTAAATCTGACAGTCAGTGGCATCAATGCAACTGATAATGTGAAAACAAAGCAGGTTCAGAATAATGTGTAAACTATTTTTGAAGAATTCGAAAACAAATTCGAAATAACTGCCTTGGTTAACAACGAACTGAAGAATCGTTACTGGTAGTGTCAGACTTCCCGCCCTACAAAGCTAGAATTCGT